TAGCTCGTGCAGTATAGGGTCAGATCCCAGCCCTACATCTTCCTGGAGGCGCTTCCGTGGGCTCAATCCTGACGTGGCTAGGAAGTGTCTTACTGAAGGTGTTGCCTATTTAAATGATTGAAGGCTGTAGACATTGATTTCAATCAAGACTTCAGTATTACTCAAAATGTTCTAAAAAGTAATTTCCTAGTTATATTTTTAAATATCATGTTCAATGTTCCTAGAGACGAAAGTTACATCAGGGTAGAAATCCAGGATAAAACTACTCTATGTAAATGATTCTCAAAACGCAGGGTAAGTGGAAATTAGGGCATCTCTCGATGTAATGGCTGGATGCATTTATCTGTCAGAATAAATACTAGCTGTATTAACTACCGGATGCCTAATGAGTTGATAACAGAAGAACGAACTGTCTTTTATTACCTCAATTTTTCCCTTGGTACTCAATGGTGTGTTTTGCTTTGGCTGGCTCAGGTACAGTAATTGTTGAAAAACACCTTTGATAACACTGTGTAAATTAAAATGTGGGAGTTCACACATTCTTTCTTTTAAGTCTCATTACTCTGTTGTTTACTTTCCAGTGGCTGTTGAGGAATTGATATTTTATCAATTTTTGAGAACTTTTACGGATCGAAGTAAAATAAGCGATATATTTGGCATATGCCATGAGACATGGGTCCTTTGGCAATATGACTAAATAGGACTTATTTGGCATGAGTGTCTAAATAGATTAGAATAGTTGAGAGTAGAATAATTTGATGTATGAATATCCTTATGGTTCCTTTGATGAGGCCTTCTGTGCATCAAATACTGAATGTCTTGATAATGTGTGCTATTAGGGCTGTGCAAGAGATTGGTGGCAGAAAGCCAACGTGCCTAGAGACAGTCACCATAAAGTTCTTCTGAGAAAGGGGAAACATTTTGGACCATATTTAGCTTTTTATATCCATGTGTGTAACAGGAGACCAGAGAGGTGACTGGCATTCCTCTCAGTAAATGTCTCTATTCTTGTAGGGGTTTTGTAGCACTCATGTAGGATAACAGAGAGATCTGAGATAAAGTCATTTCAGTCTGCAGAGGAATTACACAAGTTACTTCTCTTTGGTTTTCCATTTCACACATTATGTCGTGGTTTGATTGTCAAGCTGAGTAAACCAGTGGTTGAGTTTTGTCTGACTTGCATTGAAATCACCAAGTTTTGCCTAGCTTCAATCCAAGACTCTAAGGCAGATCAGGCTCAATCAAAACTTGATCCTGTCTGCTCGAGAAGTTTGTGAATTTTGGCCAGAACTAATCTGTCATTTTTGCATAATCTTAGAACCGTAGAATGGTTAGGTTTGGAAGGAACCTTAAAGATCATCTAGTTCCAACCCCCCTGCCGTGGGCAGGGACACCTTCTACTACACCAGGTTGCTCAAAGCCTCATCCAACCTGGCCTTGAACACTTCCAGGGCTGGGGCATCCACAACTTCTCTGGGCAACCTGTTCCAGTACCTCACCACTCTCAGAGCAAAGAATCTTTTCCTTAGATCTAATCTAAATCTCCCCTTTCAGTTTAAGCCATTGCCCCATGTCCTGTCACTACACACCCTTGTAAAAAGTCCCTCTCCAGCTTTCTTGTAGGCCCCTTTTAGGTACTGGAAGGCTGCTAGGAGGTCTCCTGGAGCCTTCTCTTCTCCAGGCTGAACAGCCCCAACTCTCTCAGCCTGTCTGCATAGGAGAAATGCTCCAGCCCTGTGATCATCTTTGTGGCCCTCCTCTGGACTTGTTCCAACAGCTCCGTGTCCTTCTTATGTTGGGGGCCCCAGTTGTGTATCACTTTTACTTCTGGTTAAGTTTATGTAAAAGAGCTTGTGATATTCTCTAAAATTTTCACAGTATTCTCAGTGGATTATGAACACGTGAGCCTTTTCACTTTTTGGTTTCGGTGCAGTAATGTAATTAGGATGTCAGGATGTTTTAGTGCCCTTGTATTTCCATGCGTGCTCCTGGTGTAAGATTATTTTCGTTGTTAAACATTTCTTTGATAAACATTTTGTGCATAATGAAATGCTGCTGATCCTTCTGGTTCGGTATTGGTCTTCGTAGTATAAAAGGGAAAAATAAGAGTTAAGATAGATGGAAATTTTTTTTTCTTGATTATAGATACCTCCTTAGAAGATTATGTTTCCTCAGGAGCTAATGTTGCTATTGGTTAGATCCCTACCTTCTTGCTATTTGCAAACCACTGTACAAACATAAAAAATGGTTTATGCTTCCTTATCTGAAAATTCTTCTATAGGGACCATAGGTTGTTGAGGCCCACAACACTGTACCACAAAGTAAAAAATTAAATTCCCGTTCCTTACGTTGTGATGGTTTTTTAATATTGATTAGCCATGTAACTCAACTTCAATGTGCAAAAAAATATATTGTTTGTCATTATCATATGCATATACAAAATAAATAATAAGAGATTGGAAATGATGCAAAATATTTTCTTTTGTATCAGGCCTTATTTGTTTGGTACTAGATAGCCAGTTACAAAATATTGTCGTTTCCACTTCTAGCTTTTACTGAAGATTTTAAGTTATAAAAAAAAAAAGCTTGAAAAATTAGGAAAATATTAGGAGAAGTTACAGAAGAGAAAAAATGGGAATTAAATAAGCGGATGAAAAAAACATACAAGCATCAAATAGTGTCAAAAGAAGGGACAGTTAAGAATTCATGGGCTTGTGTATAAAATTAGATTCTGGGTCAGTGCAAGTCAAGAGGATTTAGTCTCAATAAAATCGTAGATGCAACTGAAATGACAAGACTTGGAGTAAATCGTTTGTAACTCGTGTCATCACATTTTGTTGCCTTGGTGTAAAGGCCAGAAAGGCCCATATTGTGTAACAACAAAGAGATAACTAAAGCTACCCTTTTAGGTGTAGAACACCTCCAAGAAAGCATTGCCTGCAAAGTAATGAAGAAAGTTCATTTCTAGGAGAGAAGGTCATTCTCATGATCTTCATCTTTGCTTGACCAGCAGAGTTTTTCTTCATGCAATAATGTCTGGAAACTAAAATGAATGGAGTAATATGCAGAAAGTGATATCCATTTACAAAAGACTTTGAATGACTTCCAGATGCCACTGCCAATACAAGTCTAAATCAAAATGACCCTATAGTTAACGGTAGTAAATTTTCACAGAAAGGTGCCCTGGAGCAAATGGGTATTTCAGCCAGTAAGTCTGATGTTTTGATCTTTCTGTATCAAGCGCTCCGCTTTTGGCACGTGCATTCATCTCTGAGGAGCTACACTCCTTTACTGAAAATATTAAAAGAATTCAAGCAGCAGCATGGTGTGGTATGGGTGATGAGCCAAGCTGGCAGTGGCTTGGAAAGCACAGGAAAAATGAGAGTGAGACCTAGGATGTAGGATCAGGGTCACAAGCTTGTGGGTTTAACTTCGTCTGTACTGGATCCAGGTGCAACACTACATGTACTTTTATGCTAAGAAAGATTTCTTTTTTCTGTATAAGTTTCAGCAGAAAGACACACGAATGGCAGATTCCGAATTGCTATGATTTATTGCTATAGGGAAGCAGTGTGCTGCAGCACTGGGACGTAAGATGGATGAGGCAGGGTGTGCATCTTCTCTAACAAGTGCATTGCTTTGTTGTACGAAGCACTTATCCCATCCAAGAAAAGGTTTTTGGGAGTGCAGAATCACTGCCACTGTTGAGGAAAGAGGGGTAAAAAGTAAGAGGAAAGTCACTTCGTCTACACTTAGCCCAGTGCTGACACAGATTTTTGAGAACTGGTCTGGGCTTATCCACGCTTACTCAGAGAGCACAGGGAGGGTCAAACCCTGTTGTGGAAGCCCGCTGGACTGTGCACTGAGCACTCAGCACTGCTGGTTTGTTCTGCCTCGTTTCATTAAGGATCATTGCACCTGCTACTAATTGTGGAGTAGGTTATTAATAATGAAAGAGTTTTCAAAATCTAATTTATTTCTCATGTTCCTGTCTGCTCAAACAATGGCCATAGACTAATCAGGTTGCTGAATCAATTTGTGAGATATTTATTTTCTTCACTTATTAACTGTTTAAATGTTCTTTCATTGTGCATTGATCCATGTGTGCTTAAAAATAACAAAACCTAGTTGTTCATAGGCAGATTCCAGTTGACTTTACCTTCAGGGTCTCACTTCTTTTTATTTACAAACATGATACGTGTTGTGCAAGTGTAGAAGAAGACATAGTTTGTGCCCTCGAGAAACAGTAGAAACAAAAACGTGCAAGCACTTGAATTTCGAAGGCATGAAGTACAAGAAAAATAAAGTCAGTGATTGGTACATAGCTTCGTACTTCTACATGTGTTTGATCGTTGGGTTAAAGATAAAAATGTATAGTTTTGTGTGGTACTTGTGAAAAAGGAATTTTAGGAGTGATTAGGATTACTCAAGCGGTTCTCCAACATGCTGCAGTGTCTGTGCTTGAGACCTGGCAGGGCACTGTTCTTTGTTTGAAACAACTTTAAAATCCCACTCAGACAGGATTGTTTTATACCTTCTGCTGTTACGAGTAACAGCTAAGAATAATTGAATGTCAGTAAAGGAAGATGCTTTTCTCATTCTCTATACCCGCCCCGGTTTTGTTTACTTTCTGCATTTGGCAGCAGTTTGTATCTTCTCAGTTGCAATGTTTTCCCTGTATCATCAGTCAGCTCATTTCCCTGTTGTTTATGTGGATATTTCACACTACAGCAAGAGAAGAAAAGTTTAAAGATGGGGAAACACATTTTTTAGACCACAAAAAAAAAAACCAAACCCTAAACCAAAAAAACCCACAACAACTTGGGGCAAAGTGAAGTCTGGGGCAATTGTGGTCACTGTTGCTGCATTTACTTCATTAAAAAGAAACTAAACAAACTGCTAGTTGATGGTGCCCGTTCTGTAAGCCTGTGAAAATAACTTTACCTGACAATGCTGTATGGTCACTGCTAATGACTAAATGACGTTTCAATCTCTTTTAGGATCAGAGTCACACACAAGTTTCCCAGTATCGCCAGGATCACTCTCTGATTATGAGATCTATTGTCCATATGACTGAAGCTGCTCATTCGGGAATTATGCCTCCTTCTCAGCTAACCACCATTAACCAGTCTCAGCTAAGTGCGCAGCTGGGGCTAAATTTAGGAGGCACTAATTTGCCACACACTTCTCCCTCCCCTCCTGCAAGTAAATCAGCCACTCCTTCCCCATCTAGCTCTATAAACGAAGAAGACGCAGATGAATCGAACAGAGTAAGTTACTCCATGCACTGCAGTGAGTAAGCTTTACGTGTCTGTGTGCTATATTTTCATGAATGTGGCAGTATCATCGCAGCTGCAATGTGGTCATATAAAATACACAAACGTTATGGTGTAGTGCAATATGATTTATTTGCTGTTTAGCTTCTTTACTTAAGAAGTTTTCATAATACCTCCATAATAGTAAATATAAGAAGGTACATATCTCTCTATATGTATTTGGTCTAATACATTCATAATTCATTTCAGATTTTATAGATCTGGTGAATCTCTTTACTTGTCAACTTTGAACAGTTTTGTCATTTGGATATTCTCTGGAGTCATGTAAAATATAGATGCATTTAGATAGAAATAAAATAAGCTTTCTTCTAACTGAAAGTTTAGTTAATTTACATTTTGCTTTAAATAAATCTGTTATAAAAGGAAAATTTTATCAACAACATAAAGCACAGATGTTATTATAGCAGCATATTTAAAGGGCCTAATTTAGACTGTTCCATGCAAGGTTTTCTCATTAAGTTAATGGAAATTGTGCATATGTAAAGATCATTGTACAGAATCCTCAAAATATCAGAGTAAAACGACTATCATAGTGGTATTTTTAGAGCCACTTTATCCCTTCACTGCAATAATCTGTGCATAGACCAACGAAAGAGGGTCTGGGACGCGAGGAGCACCCAGGGACTGGGTTACCTGTAATCCTGGGTGCGCCGCTCCGAGGGTTCCTCATGCCTGAGGCAGGAGGGAGATGTAGGTGCAGGACTGGTGCCTGGCAGTAACGGGAGCCTCCGGCACTGCTGGGCTGGCACCTGAGCCTGCGCGAGGAGTGGTGGAGGTGGGTGGTGGGACACAACGGGTGTTCACTGCAGGTGGATAGAAACTGCAGAGCTGCTACTGCTTTTTGCCTGAAGGGTGAGTTTTTAACCCCTGACCCATGTCTAAGTTGACAGCCTAAGTCTAGGAATTAGGAAATGCCTCCAAGCTCTTGTCTTTTAAGTCTCTACTGCTGAAATTACATCTTAATGGAAAAACATAGATTGCCTATTCAAAGTATACTACAGATTAACTCATTTTTTTTTCAATAGAAATCAGCATTTATGTGTACTTTTTCAGGTCAAGCTCAAAGGATTGACTCTCTGAGCCGTGCTTACAATGAGTAGTTACTATTCATGCATTTAGTTCCAGTAGATCTGATGAGATTAAGCTGAGACTAATTACTATTTCATAGGAGAAGGATTCTCCAAAATGTTGCCTACATAGTAGCTTTATCCATATATTATTGAACCAGATTGTCCATAATTTTTCAGAATTAATCTAATTTGTTTCACACATATAATGACTGTTCTTGTTATCACTATTTCTTAGGCTACTGGAGAAAAAAGAGCTGCCCCAGATTCTGGCAAGAAGCCCAAGACTCCAAAGAAGAAGAAAAAGAAAGATCCCAATGAGCCACAAAAGCCAGTGTCAGCGTATGCCCTTTTCTTCAGGGATACACAAGCTGCAATTAAAGGGCAGAACCCGAATGCTACATTTGGAGAGGTTTCAAAAATAGTGGCTTCTATGTGGGACAGTTTAGGAGAAGAACAAAAACAGGTAAAAAATTGATGCAGGGTTGTCTCACAAGAAGTAAAATAGTAATCCTTGTTAAAAAAATCCTCCTATCTCTGCTCTGAGTGGACCACGCTACTTGCTGATGTAGACTCTTACTCTGTAGAGCTGCATCGATCTTTAAACTTGCTGAAGACCTGGCATCTAAAAAGCATTTTGTTATAAGAGCCAGTAGGTACTAATAAATGGCATTTATTTGGTATTTGTCTTTACATTTTAAAGGGCAGTTTGTAAAAAGCTCAGGTGATACTGTCCTAGAGTCCTGTTAAGACCATCTTTTGATGATTCCTGTTTCAAAGCTCTTGTTTCCTATTAATCAGAAGTTAGAAGGTACAGCACGTTTACCATTTTCCTTTGATCTGCCTTACGCATTTGTTACAAAGCGTGTTGATTTCCAACCTTTGAAGCCAGTCCTCTGTGCCTCATTACAATGGTGTGCGTGAAATGTTATCTCCAGCTCCAACTTAGCACAGCATGATGAGTTTTGTTCTTCCTTGAGGGTTATTCTTCTTTCTATACACATGTAACTCCTACACACGGACTGAAGGGGAAAAGAAATAAAAGTCCTTTGAGGCTGTTTGCCTGTTGATGCTCTGCGCAGCTCCCAGTGACAGTTAATGGAAGCTGCGATGGAAGAGTAGATTCCCTTATAGGACACCTTCTAGCAAGATATGAATGATTCTTGTTTGTGAAACACATTTGGAAACTTTTAGTCTGGTCTAACAAAGGATGGAGAACAGGATTTAAAGGTGAACTTTTAATTTACTGATGATTAAAAATACAGATTAAATCAGTTTTTCCCTGACTGTTCTTGTTTGACTCAATGGGATTCTCTAATACTGGCTTTGGGGAAAGCGAGTTGTCCAAGCTTTATGAACCACCTTTTATAAATGTACAAAGATTATTTATTTTTTAATACGTACTTTGTGTATTTGTTTAAAAAAAATATTGCCTAGGCATTTTTGCTTTTTTATACTACTTCGGATACTTTTTAGCATCTGAAGTACTCAGTGTTCTAATATCCCTGTTACTTAGAGTCATTAAAATATCATTTCCTGGGGAGCTAAAGCGCACATAGGGAGTCTTGTCAAAGAGCTGGCCACTCTAGCAGCTTTTTTTATTCACAATAAGTCAACATAAATTGTGGTGCAAGTCCAGTGAGTAGATCTGAAAGTCTATGACCACCTGCAAGAATATTTAGGTCTTTCAGGGAAGAAAAAGCACATATAACAGTAGAGTGTTTTCAGGTTTTTTGGTCTGTGTTTTTTGTTTCATTTTGAGAGCATTCTGGCAAAGACGTCTGAATAATTGAAGTTGCTGAAATTGTGGTCTCTTTTAATAGGTATATAAAAGAAAAACCGAAGCTGCCAAAAAGGAATACCTAAAGGCACTTGCTGCCTATAGAGCGAGCCTTGTTTCTAAGGTAAGCCTACTAATGCCTTCAGTGTGATGCAAGTTAGCTTTTGGCAAAGGTGTTTAAACATGGCAAGGGGAGCATTACACAAAACAAAAGTAGAATCCTAGGATTTCTGTAATACAGCTCTCCAAGATGCTGCTGCTGCTTGAACCCTGCTTAGTCTTTGCCAAAAAAAGATTTCATCTAATGGTGCAGTAATGATTACCGAACAATAACTTTGTAAATGTACATCTTCCGTTATCTATGGAGGCAAAATCATGCACTTCACTACAAAAGTAAAATTCAGTTGTGAAAGTGACCTTCTGACGTTCACGTTTGCAAGCTATTTGCAGTTTTGTTTTTCCTCAAGCGCCGCTTCTCGAAAGACAGACTTGTTTTGCGTGCAGGCGGAGAGCAGTTATTGTATGACAGAGCTTAAGTATTTCTTGCAGGTGAGGAGGAAAAAAAACGCATGGTGGCTCTGAATTTGGAGAGTACTTACAAATGGGCTAGCTGGCAGTGAGCCACATGGAGTATTTTAGCAGATCCCGAGTTAAAATAAACCTCGTGCAGAAAACAAAGCTCTGCTGTCTTATTTGAGAATTTACCTTTCTTAACTGGCAGCACTACGGTGTTGCATCTGAATACTGTAACTGGAAATATGCTTATGGCTGTCTGAAATGCGGGTAAAAATCAATCGAGGTGGTTATTTATCTAACAATATTTCATAAAGATCAATTACAAAAATATCTTTGATCACAAGGAAGCGACAGAAGAAAGGGATGATATCTAACTTCTGAGAAAACTTATTTGAATGTACAGCTGCAGAGTGTTAGTAAATCACACAGAAAGTTGCGGTGTATTTTAATTAATGATTAGAAATACAACAGTAGAAATTTTACACATGCGTTCTTGGGAGCTGGAAGATTTTCTCTCCTTGTGTTGAGAAGCTGCATTTTTCTGTCATCTCTAGGACTTGGATATCATTCTCAAAGGCTTTAGTATCACAACACTAAGTTTCAATGGCAGCTGGAATTCTAAATACCTTTGAGGAAATTTTTTATGTCAGTCCTGAGTTCCCTTTTCAAAACATCAGATATCATATTTTCTCCCCAAATCTGTGAGACCTGGGCTGCAAAGTAACTCGTGGGAAGACTGCGAGTGGAAATTACACTCTGAGTCCAGTATTATTCTCATCTCCTTTAACTTAAGACATCCTGTGCTGTAGCCTTTTCATCTGACGTGGTTGCTGAGAGTAGGGATGGAATAGACACTTCTTCAGCACAGTCTGACACATTCTAAGGTGAACATCTAAAACATGTCAGTTAATTGTGCTGGAAGAGACTTTTTCTCTCCGTTGTCTTAATATAGGGATCGTGGGCAACTGTTCTACATGTCGTCTACAATGCAGACGTGTAAAACTCTGAAAGATGAATCCTACCTTTGGTGCTTAAACATATCTCATTTAAACATACACGATATTTTGAAATATACCTAATAAAACTATGCCTTCAAAGGCACCAGAACACCTCTTTTATTGCAATAGACCTCTTTGGACTGTAGTTTTCCCTCAGGTGTCTGTCATCAGAAACCTGCAGGACACTGGAAGGTGACAGCATTCCTGGAGCAGGACGCGCCACAGATGCAACTGTGGTGCTTCCGGAGGGTTCAGCTGGGTGCCTCCATGGTGTCCTTTTAGACTTTTGTCTGTTGTAGGGACCCAGGACTTGATGATGCCTTAGACGCAAAGAACTAAAACAAGCAAATTTAAAAAGTTGTTTAAGTGTTGAGGTTTGTGCGCTGCTCTTATGCCATGATAACTGGTACACTGGAATATACTTCTACCCAGATTTGTCTCCTGAAGAACAGGGGTTTTCTGAAAACATATGAATATAGAAACTGTTGGGCCCTTTTTAGCTCTTTCAACCACAAAATGTGCTGACATCTGTGACTTTCTGATGTTGAACAAGGGCACGAGTTAGTTTTTTGTCCAAGAACTGAGGTACTGTATACAGAGACAGATGAAGAGGCGATGTAATGGATCGGTGGACTAGTGATCTTTTTCAGACTGGTGGTTGATGTTTTCTGATAGAAAACAAAATATGAAAAAGTCTTCCTGAGTAGCTGTGACTTTTATTTCCGTGTAAACAGTAGCAGTGTTTTTTCTGTTAAAATACAATGAATTTCTTTTCCAAACACAGGCTGCTGCAGAATCTGCTGAGGCCCAGACAATTCGTTCTGTTCAGCAAACATTGGCATCCACAAATTTGTCTTCCTCCCTTATTCTGAATACTTCTCTTTCTCAACACGCGACCCTATCGGCATCTCCTCAAACTCTTCAACAGTCCCTTCCCAGAGCAATCGCTCCAAAACCCTTAACCATGAGACTACCGATGAATCAGATTGTGGCTTCTGTTACCGTTGCACCGAACATGCCAACAAACATTGGAGCTCCGTTGATGAGCTCTATGGGAACAAATATGGTGGCAACACCATCTTCGTCTCAAGTAAGTCCCTCAATGCAAAGCCAGCAGCACCAGATACAGCAGCTCCAGCAGCAACAGATGCAGCAGATGCAACAGCAGCAGCTACATCAGCATCAAATGCATCAGCAAATACAACAACAGATGCAACAGCAGCATTTTCAGCACCACATGCAACAGCACTTGCAGCAGCAGCAGCAGCATCTTCAGCAGCAAATTAATCAGCAGCAAATGCAACAGCAACTGCAGCATATACAGCTTCAGCAAATGCAGCAGCAGCAAATGCAGCATATGCAACACCAGTCCCAGCCTTCTCCTCCGCAGCATTCTCCAGTAGCCTCTCAGATCACTTCTCCCATCCCTGCCATTGGGAGCCCTCAGCCAGCACCTCAGCAGCACCAGTCACAAATACAATCTCAGACACAGACTCAAGTATTATCGCAGGTCAGTATTTTCTGAAGATAAACCATCTTGCAACATGGCTTTGTGTTGGTGGAGGGGGTAGGGGTAAACCATATTTGGCTGAAAACTGTAAATTGTTGATGGTAGTTATGCAGGGATGCATAACAGATCAAATGATCCTCTAAAGTGTCTATTAGATAGGCAATAAAGAACTACAATGTAGCTGTGTGTCATCTTTTAGCTGACTATAAATCTTTTTTTTTTTTTTTAAAAAAAAAGCTGTGCTCTTTTTCATGTGATGCCTTTTTAATTTATTTAAGCTTTACCTACAATATGTGAAACAAATGGCCTAATAAATACCTGGACCTTATGACTGCAAAATGGCCTTTCAGAGTTTTATGATATAACCCTTCTTTCTCTAAAAGCAGATAATGCACTTCAAGGCAGTATGAACTCATGAAGCCCTTAAAGCACAGTTGTAACTACCTGTAAAATGATGATTGGATTTCATACAATCATACTTATATGACATGAGTTAGTTGATGGCATTTTTTGTCATGAAAAAATAGAGTAAATCACAGATTTTTGCCAAAGCTCTTAATTTCTTTTTTCTCTCCTAAATGTCTTCGGAAAAACAAATGCAAGTAACGGAACTTAAATGTTTGACCCACCCTTTCACTTCATTTCTCCAAATAAACCTGCCATCGTTTGTAAGAAAATATATATTGACATTTACCCTTTTATGTTAATTCCGATTACAGAACAAATGTGAATATTATATTCTGTGTTCAAGTGATGAGTTTCAGATTTAATACACTGTATTTTTAAAAGGGAAATGCACTTAAATAAAACTGTTATTACAGAAAGCTAAGATGAAAAATGCAAGAGTTTTTAATACGCTGTAAAACCAGTAGAATATTTAAATGAAACTCCACAACCGAATAATCAATGTAAATATTTTCTTTAAAAGTTGTAAGTTTTCATATCATGTGTTGTAAAGTTTTCATAAATGAGGCTTTAATGTAAACACTGGTAACATGAATTATTAATTGCTACATTGCTTATTGTGTTTTTATGCTGTTTTATACTTTTTTATGAGTTATGATAGCAGCAATTAAGTTGTTTGTATTTTGCTTATCTAAAATAAATGCTTTTATCTTGCTATAGAATAAACACATTTCAGTAAAACCAACGGGCATAAGTCTTTGATAGAAAAACCAGAAACATTTCCATATGAAAACACTTTCTTGGGAGATTTATTTAACTTTTTTAGATTTTTATTTTATCAAGTATAGTGAGTTAAATAGGTACCGATCGGAATCGAGTGTGCGATCAGCTCTCGCATCCGTAGAGACGTGCTGGTGAAGAGTGGCGTGCAACTTGCCTGAGGTTCCTGCGCCTGACTTCAGAGCGAGGAAGAAGCAGGTGGTAGAATTACAAAGCATCCGTGGTACCCCGTTTATCCACAGGAACAGGACAGAGAACCTGTCTCTCAGCAGTAGTGTTCAGAGGTGCAAATAAGCACAAATTGTGGTTTTCTGTGTATCTTTGAGTTTCAGATGTAAACGCAGCTACTGCCACGGGCGTCCCATCTGTAAGGCCCTAAATCTGACTGATCCCGAGTTGTCTGACTTATGTTTATCATAAAAGCAGGACATGATAGAGGAGGGGTGGAGCGGGCAGATATTTTGTAGGAAGGATTTGGAAACACTCCCATCCGATGTGGTGGCAGGATATTAGTGCTGTTTATACATTTTTCCTCTTGACAGAAAGGAGAAATCCTTTATTTTCTTCTTTCCCTTCTTTGCCTGCAATAGCTGTGCTGCAAGTGCAGTCTGACCACTATCCCCAGTTGTCTTGCATGATTAATTACAGCATCTGTCCTGTCAGAAGCTATAATGAAGAGGTCTTGATAAAAATTGCAAATTACCACTGGCAACAATCTTAAACTGCTTATGATAAAACGAAAATTAAAAACAGCAAGTGTCAAACCTGAGTAGCATCCTAATCCTGTTTGAGGCGGTGTCCATGGCTACCACGCTCAGGCCACAACCGAAAAATAATGGAATATAGGTCCCCAAAAAGTTGCAGCCAGACTTGAGGGAAGAGGTACTATACTGTGTGAGTTTATTAATAATGAATTCAGCTTTCAATATTTCATCATCCTCAGGTACTCTTTATTATGTACAAATATTGAGCAGCAAGAGATTCTAATTATAAATTTATAGATTTCTTGGAGCAGAAAAAATCATGTATAAATTGAAGCTTTTCATAATAGGTGTTAGTTGACAGCTACCCATGCTCATAATGGCCTTAGTATGATATCTAATCATGTCTGGCACGGAGGAAGCCCGCCTGTGTTGGAAATGGCACAACAGAGGCTGCTTGGGAGAGATTTTTTGTGTGTGTCAGTTTTAACCAATGTTACATAACAAAGGGAACCATTTTATAGTCGTTTTGAAACCTTTAGACAAACGTCTTCAGAAATAATTGCTGAACTGCATGTGACAGTAATTTTGTATTAGTTCTATAATTGTCGTTTTGAAGATCTATAAAGTATCGTTGGAAAAATGTCACCAGTGATAAGAGTTAATTACAACCAAAGTCTGTTTTCAACTATTTACGGCGAGAAGCAGGTGTTATTACACTCATTAAATGATTTCATAAATCCTGGGTTTTATCGCATTTGATTAAGAGCTGCTGAACTACTGATGGTCAGTTCCAGGAAAAATAGTTTAATGAATCCAGCTAAAAAAAAAAAATTAATCATCAAGTGGGACTGTACTTTTTAAATATCAGAATTTGAAAAACTGGAGCATCCCCCTGCTTGCAACAAAATTATATTTTACATTACCCACAATAGCATATTGCAGAACATCTTGTGTTTCAAACTGTGCAAGTTGGTGTTCATATTCCCAAAGTCTAAGTGAATAACTTTGCTATCATAGGTCATAAATAAAACTGTTAATGTAAATCACTTAATATGCAATTTATAGAGGAAAAATGCAACATCCGTATGATTTCAGCGTCGTGCGCGGTTTAAAGAATGTTTTCCTTCGTATCGTTTACAAGCACTTAACTGCTCCCTTCTTTTCCCAAGGTTTCAGATGCTTTATCACCCCGGTTAACCACATTCTACTTTCACATTAACCCAGGTTGACACATGATGAAAGAACATAAGGAGGTTTAATTTTTAGCTGACACAGGGTCATTAGTTTCTAACTCGGAGAACAAAGGCTTTAAATACCTCTATGCAACATAATCTCAATTTTATATTATCACCTGACCATTGTGGTTTGCAGGACAGATGGATTAAATATCTCGAGTTTAACCAGAAGTCTTGCACTGCCTTGTTTCAATGGGGACTGCCTCTTTGAATGGCTTCTTTTCCATTTCTCACTTCATGGAGTATTTTGCAGCACTGGACTTCGTTCTAACCTTTCCCTCCCCCCTTTGTTTGGCTTTTGTTTTGCAACAGCTGTTATTATCGTTTTTGGTCAGCTGTGATTGCTGGAGGCAAAATAGGACCAGATGGTGTTTTGCTATGCATGAATGGCGAGTTAGAGGAGTTTAGATTGAATAGGCCAAGTTTGAATGGTGTCTATGCACCACCTGCCCTCTTCAGCAGCAGCACACACATCATAGGAGCATGATCTGTCTCAGACCTACTAGAATTGGATGGGAATGGAGAGCGCCTCGTTGGATTTTCTCCATATTTATTGATCTTCCATGCACTAACAGCATAATGCAGTACACAGTCAATTTGAGTTAATTGGATATGACACAGCATGTACATGTAATCTATCACTGTAGTCTCCCGGTACACTTTAGGTTTTGCTGCCACAAGAACGCACAGTGTTAGCCTGCCTTAATGGGCTAAGTGGATGGAAGTAAAACAGGATCATTGCACGGCTTGATTTAACAAAATACACGGCAGTTTTAAAATGATACCCTTGAAACTGCCAGAGATGTGGTTAAATATGAATGTTTCGGATTTGATGGACTCGACCGAGTCTTTTGGCGCAGAACAAAATGTACCTCGTTCCCATACTTTTCTGAGTGGTTTGCCAGTGGAATTTAAACAAACGGTTGACTAAAAGTGCAGAGCAGCATCAGCAGCGATGAGCTGGGACCATTCGGAATGGGTGTGTGTTTATGTGGAGGAATCTACTTTGCAGCAGAAGGGATATTATATTAAGCAAATTCTGCTTACTGGCAGCTAAAACACAGAAATTAAAATTAGGCATCCCAATTGGGTTTGGAGCAGCAAAGGGCTGCTTCGCTATCCTCAAACCGGTCATAGAGGTAGAATTTAAATGTTACAGAGATTTAAGAGCTGTTGTATCTTCCGTTAAGGTTGACTGAAAGACATTGGGTCCACAAGAGTTGTGTCTGAGCATTAGGAATAAAATGCCTGTGTTACAAATAATGAATAAAATGCATAAGAATAACTTATAATACATAAATTGCTGGAATTGTTGCAGCAATCGAAAGTTTAAAAGCCTACTTACGTATGGAACTGGGGGTTGTGATCATGCTCTGCTGAAGTTGGCAGGAGCTGCTTACTCAGTGTCTTTGTCTGTGGTGTCAGGTAGCCGAGTGAGCTACTTTATTATTATGAAAATTGCATTCAACTGAAAACATGCTAAATATTTTCAAGTGCCTGTGGGAAAAACTAGGTTTGTATTAAAGGATTTCGTTCTTAAAGTCACCAAGAAGTTAATGCTGCTCAGGTGTGCATCTAAGGGAGAGAATTTTCGATTATAATACTAAAATCTTTCAGAAGCGAGTGTTTCGCTGTTCTGGCACTTCAGTAGGCTGTGCTGGAGATTTGTAATGTACTCTGTTTACCTCGGTTAAAAAGTAGAAGTGGTATTTTAAATAGTGGCTTTTGTCCAAGTTCTTGGAGTATTAACATCTTCAGCCCCTACAGAAACCAAAGTAGTGCAGTTTTCTTACGGGGTTTGAAATGAAATATGTTTTAATCTTTTAGGTAAAATAAAGTTGAATGGATAATTATACTTGATGTGGCATAGTTATATGAGCACTTCCTACAGGTACAATTTATTCTCTTTTCCCTCTGGGAGTATCTTTATTGATACAGGCACCTTTGGTGTGTTATTTTCTCCAAACTGGAGTTGTTGCGTTACTTTAACTCTGCTGCTCTAATTGAAAGAGAAAGGCTTTGATCCCGCAAATCACTTAAAACGAGTGGATAATTCATGTATATAAGTAGTAATTTCATTAAAGTGACTACTCATATGTTTCGTTATAGGGTTGTTCAAGTGCTTTCATAGATCAGGGGTCTAATTGCAAAATGTTGTATTTGTTTTCCAAACAATTCAAAGTAGCAATAATAATAATCAGAACATAAAAGTAGCGTAACCTAACTTACATTTCCTGCATTTTTTTTTTTATTAAAGCCTATTCTAAACAAGGCACAGGTCTGATTTTCAAGTACAGGTATCTACTTTATGCTGGTTCAGCGACTGTGCATCATCATGAACATGTAAAGAATTAACCACCTGACTGGTGATTTGTATGCTCAGTCATTTAGATGGGTTTCTACTGTGCACGGGTCTGAAAACCTGTACCTGGATCAGCAGTCACAGCTCTTGACTGAGCAGATGCCTTGACCAAATATTTGTGTTTACAAAACAGAAAAGTAAATGCAGGCAAACAAAGCACCATTATACCTGCTGGCAATATTTGTGAAACCTAAAGGGTATAGTTACTGCGAGCTGGTTTGGTTTTATTCCTGTATCCCAGAGTGTACTGATAACAAACATAGGCATTGCATTAGCTTAAAGTAAATAAATAATAAAGCCCACGTGTTATACTTTTCTCACTGCTGGCTGTAGGTGCTCAATTTTGGAATTGGTTTTGGTGTTTCAGGAGTCATGAGAATTGACCATACAGCATGGATATTTAAACAATCACAAGTAGCTCTACCACTGCTGAATTTTATGTCTGTTCTTAATTTTGGGAGTGCTGAAAATCATGGGTCAGTGTTGAAAATTCTGCCTTGTCAACTGTGGATCAGGGAATTCTCACTGGTGCACCGATGTGTGTATGTGTGTGTGTGTGTAAGTATAAGTTGGTAGTAGGGAGCAACCCCTTGTATGTGCTCCAGCCTTACACGCAAGCGCCCTTCCGTGTGTGCCTGTGGCATGGAACAGTGGGCATTTTCCTATTGACTTCAGTGATACAGGGCCAAGCAGATGTGGAGCTGCACTGTGGCATCAGCTGAATCGTATTCCCTGTTCCTCCCAGCTTCTTCTCCCATTTCCCATTGTCCCTTTCCACATTTCTCTCTGCTCTGCGAATTGCTGTAGCAGCCTGGGCTTACTTGCCCCGTGCCAGCTCTTGTACCCTGCTCCTACATGCTCCCACCTATGGAAAGCTCCTCCTGCAGAGCTTCTCCTCTTCAACACTCCCTTCTTGTTTCTCCTGTTCCTGACAATCGCAAGGAAATTAATAAATAGCCCACGTACCTGATAAGTATTTGTTTAAGTAAAGAGATGTCCAGAGGTGTGCACTTAATTTCGTGTGGAAAATGTCTAAAATACACGTAAAAACGAGGCATGCGTTTGGGGACTTTTTGAGTAATGTTCTAGGTGCTTTGCAACATGGTCTGCCGAAGGATTTGGTTATTGCCTAACATAGTTTGGTGTTGGCAGAATATTGATGAAGCTCCTGATAATTGTCATCCTTGTGTAACCAGACTTTCTCCCGTATAACGCTATGGCAGATAAATCTAGAAGTGTTTTGGTCGTTTGCAACAAGTAGCGTATTACAGCAGATTTTTGAGCTTCTGGTAGAATTGATGTAATTCCAAATGTCAATTTAGAGATACTTGTGTTTCTAGAAGGAATGAGCAGCCTTTCTTTTTTTCTTCCTTTTTTTTTTTTAATCCAGATGCAAATGAAATCCGTATCCTTCACTTTAGAAAATGGCTAGAGTTCTCTAGAAGACTTGGACAAATTAAACATCTTTGGACAAAAATAGTAATAAAAATGTAATATTCTCACATTCACTTCTGTTGAAGTCTGCTGAAGCTGTACTTGGTTTTAAACTCAAGGCTGAGTTTGGTCCCATTACTTCTTTCCATTTTCAAGGCTGCTGATCAGCAAAAATTAATTGAT